TTGCGATAATGTAGAAGCCAAATCTCCTTAGGTCTAAGCGGACTTTAGATATTGAAGCATATTAAAGACAATTTTCTCTACAACTTATTCCTAGTATGGATTGTTAAAAAGTGGAATAAGCGTGAATTCAAATTCGTTTCACAACGAAATCAGCCATATTATAATATATTTTTCAGACATTTTGCTTGATAACTAATTCAAGATATGGATTCCTTGTTCCACAAATTTGCCTCACATACAAATCAATAGCGGAATACGCGTGAATTCGAATTCGTTCTGCAACGCAGTCGGAGAATTTAAAATACATGTTGACAACATATATGTAGGCATATTTAAGATACTTCACTTGATAACAAATTTTAGAAACGGAATACTTGAATTAAAAGTCGCCTCAAATATTGAACAAAAATGGAATGGAATGGAAGCGTGAATTCGAATTCATTTCACAATAATGTTAAGTGAAATAAAAGTGAAATATAAAATGAATAAGAGTAGATATTGTCGATACCATAAACTACATACATTCTTTTGAGAAGTAACTAAGATGAACTAATGATGATTAATTAATTATTAAGCTTTTTAAATTCATAGTGGCCTAAGCTTAAAGCCTTTGTTTAGATTGCAAGTCATTTGACGTAAACCGAACTCAACAAAACCAACAGCCACAACAATAAGCACACATGACAAGCACTAATTTAAGTATTGGAGGCCAAACGGAAATTGAGCCCTTGCAACATGTACGCGATGTGTTCAAATTTCCACATTGAACTATGCTAATTCCGTGCCAATTATCGTGCATATTTCCGCGTGTAAACGTATATAAACAATGCAAAACAGGAACAGAAATTATGTATTGCAGCTTGTTTGCGAATTTGATGCTGATTCAATCATTCAATCATTCAATCAACGTTTCGTGATTATCTATTTAGACTCCTGATGAAAAGTAGCTCGCATGTGTTTGTTTAATTTGCGGTGCAAAACTGCGGTTTATGCATTTGCATGTCACTTAGCTGACATCGAATATGCACACACAAACATGGATAAATTGCGGCTGCCAATTAAATATTCACTTTGGTATTCATGAATGATATGAAAAACCATGTTGCAGTGCTCTAGGTGGGTATGCGCGACTAGGAGATGCCCTCAACTAAAAGGAGAGAGCGGCCGTTAAAGACATATTCTGTGCTTTCTCTTTCCTTAGTTCTCTATTCTTTCTCTTTTGCTCAACTTCGGAGCTTGCAGTCCGATCCTGATGTTCCCAGTTCCCAGGATATATTAGAGTTCATCACATCGACGGATGGGCTTGACCAGATTAACTCGACGGAGCAAGCATCTAAATACTACATAGAGTCAAAGAAGCCGCTCTCTGCCTATTACATGCTTTAGTACAAAACCCTGATACCCTTTTTACATTTTAGGGCATTAAAAATTGCAAACGCTGAAAATTGCGCGCATAAATTGCTAATTGACATATAAACGCATCGGTTGCTGTCTGCCTGGGATACACGCCTCTACGTGTGTGTGCGTGTGTGTGCGTGCATGTATCGCAACAAAAACAACAAACAATAACAAATTGCACTCAAAAATTGAGAATTCAATTGTCGTGCAAATTGATTTCAAATGTCACATAAACGTCAAACTTGTATTTGATGGATACACTTTATCCCAGCTCAACCCCTAGCCGTCCCCTTGGTGCACACCTCGTTGGCTGCAGCTGCTGCTATTGTTTCTGTGCTGATAATAATGGCATCGAATGACACCACAATGCGCTCACACACGCGCTCAGACACATGCACAGGCAACTATCGATTGGCAACATACACACAAAGAGACGCTCACGAATCTTTTGACTTTTGGCCATGGTTAGATAGATGATTCGTCAGCGTTCAAGCCAGCCATGAATTTAGGTGAACACCAATCAATAATCACATTCGTCTCGACTAGCAAACACCCTAACCACCTCCCCTCCCCCACATCATCCTACCGCACTCTGTGAGTGGCCCAGGCGACCGCCATGCCAACATGAAAAATGACCGATGGCAGCCAAATAAAGGAGAAAACTCTCGGCTCGAATGTAGTTCTAGTTGCTGTTGTTGTTGTTGTTGTGTGTGTAGGTGTGCCCGTGTGTATGTGTGTGTGTATGTGTGTAGGTGTATTGGCGTAGCTGTACCTTGGCTCAGTTCACTTTGATTTACTTGACTGTGCCCGGGCTCGACATTTTGACACAAATCACAGCTGACCAGGCAGTTCGCCAGCGAGGCAGGACTTTAAATGCCCGGCCTATGCGCATACACATACATACATGTATGCCTATATATGTATGTATTTGTGTGTGTTTGTGTGTTCCCTAGTCAAAGCAATACTTCAAATTAGTTACACTGTGCTACCACAGCTGGGAATTAAAATGTCTAGTTTAGCATTAAGAAAATAAATTGGTTTCTTTTATGATAAAAAACTCTCTAAGAATTAAAAAGATTTCACTTGAAATAATCCTCGTTTGCTAAGCGGGTATTATCCAGCTTTGCGCATATTAAGATTTGTTCCATAGGCAGACATTTTACATCTTGGAAGAAGTGTGAAACCCGTCTGAAGTAATTTTAATCGGATTCTATTTCCCCAATATTCCACAGCGGCGAGTGGAATTTCCGAAACCTATAAGACCATCGGAGAGTTATTATGAAGTGCCTTAACAATTAATTTAAAACCGATCGGACGGACACCAAAATATAATCAACACACATTTTTCATTGAAAAGGCGTGGATTTCGTGAAACGTGTGAAACACATCGCAACTGAATTTTCCTCAGAATCTTTAAAATTAAGCTTACACTTCACACACATTCAACCTTTCACTCGCTCTTTTCACCTTGTGTGAAGCACAAAATGCATTATCAGAAAGTTCTTAGAAAAAGAGTCTGAAAACAATAAAATTGTATACAGCTGTTTTTCACCAATGTTCCACAATTGCCAGTGGAATTAACGAAAGACGTTTAGAATAAGTTTTTATGTGGGCACGAAAAAATAAGTCGATCGAAAGTCACTTTTGCTTTGCTTTTTACTTTTCCCCTTAGACTGTTGAACCATTTTCGACCCAAACGTTTTCTACGAATTTCCCACACTTGCGGGTGAAAAGGATTTCAAAAATGTCCAAAAATTGAATAACTGCATAGCTTAATAGTTAAACTACAAAAACGCAATTGAAAAGCCTTTTTCTGGCAAGTGTTTTCCTAATAGTAAAACGCATTTTATTATTTATAAATTGTTTACCTGATGTGAATAGCAAGTCGCACAGTTTTTGGTTACGCGTGTGTGAACAAATCATAAATAGTCAATAGGAAAAAGTGAAAAATCAAAACAAAATGAACAGCTGGCTGCAAGCCGAAGATTGTATACGCTTAACGCGAGAGGATTAAAGAAATCAGATCTGATTTAGCCAGGTCTGCCCTGATACCACCTAGGGTATAGTATTAAGTAACATCGAAGGAAAGAGAAGATGATTACAAAGGCAAAGTCAAAGCTGGGCGCTGGCACGTGCCACAGATTTTGGCCGGGCTGAAGCTCAAAGGCAATTGGCTTTCATTAGCTGTATATATGGCACATATATACATATATACGTATAGGAGCTGACAGGATTTGTCAGACATTTGTCAAATTCGAGCAGAGAGAAGCAGCCAATGCGATGTGATGTGATGCGACGGCTGTCAACTTGGCTTTGTTTTTGTTTGCGCGCAAAAATGCACGAATAAATCGTGAAGAGGCAAAGCAGCCAAATGTTATATACACATGCCCAACAGTTGCCACAGCTGCCCCAGCTGCCACACAGGTGACATTTGCACAGAGACAATGCCCAGACACTGCAACAACCGGGTTCGGGACTCGAACTACGTACGGACTGGCTAAGGGGAGTCCTGGTCGCCGACTCCGACTGTTTGTTGAGTTTTGGCTTTGGCTGTCGCGGCGACAACTTCATCACTCAATGACGACGACGAGGACAACGACGACGCCGCCGCTTGCCACTTGCCGCTTGACAGTTACAAATTATGATTGATTGAGGACAAAACCCAACACACTCGCCTCCCCCCACCAATGGTGCCACAGTTATTGGGCAATCATTGAATTAGAGCACTTGCAATGTGCCATAAATATGCATTAGCCGCACTCAAAACTAGCGACAGAACAAGTGCATAAATCCATATCAAACGTATCCGAGTCAAATTTATGGCAAACGTTTGCCTCAATTGAAGCCACTTCATAAATTCATAAGCATCTTTTTTTTCGCTTTGTATTTGCCGGAAATGCTACACTTGCGCCTGCCAAAAGGCTATTAAAATTTAATGCCGGACAGCGCATTATTGAAAAGCAGCAACAGCAACTGAAGCAGCAGCAGCAAATCATAAATCATTTGGTCAATTTTAATGCAGAACAAGACAACGGCAACAATGAACAATGAGCAGATATTAAAACAATTATGAGTGTACGACGAGCAAATACCCATTACTTAGCAGCTGCTATCCCTTGCAGCACAAGAAAGCGGCAACAAGGAACAATAAGGAGATATTAGAGGAACATGCTTTCTTCGGTGCATATTGTCCGATCTTTATGCAATTATCAGCGTGTGCCTACACTAAAGCGTGTAGCTCTATCTCTCCCTTTTCTTTTCACTATTGCATATTGAGGGAGCTTTTCCTGAATGAAAGCCTTTTTAATCTGTGTGTACGCAAGAAACAAGTGGAGTATTTCTAGCTGCCGTTTTCAGCTATGCTGAATCGATATTTATTGATATTTCGTAAATGTGAATGTATATCGAGGACAAATATTAAACTCGACTATATAGCAACTGGATCTCAAAGTTACCCAGTCAAAAGCAGTCTTAAGTTCGAACAAACTGTTTTTTCTTTCCCACCTATACAATGCTATCATAGCCCATGCCCAATCGGCTCAGGGTATAACAAATAAAAGCCCAAAAAAAAAAAAAAAAAAGGACAACCAGACAACGTCGGCTTGGGCCCATTACACGCTCACTTGCCTAGATAATTGCTATCTGGCCCTGTGTGTGAGGCTGGGCTGGATTGTGCACAATGTTGGCGCGCGTCGCTTTGACCTGAGGCTACAGCAAAACGATTGTCCAGTTTGCTTTGTTAACAATGGAAATGTGGCATTCAGTTATTAAGCTCCAAAAATAGAAAATGTTTGACGAGTTATAAAGAATTACTTGTCTAATGGCATGTTTATTTGCAAGTGGTTTCCCAAGAAAAACGTGACAGTATCAAAGCAAAGATCCAACGAAATGTTAATTGATTTTAGTTCAATTTGTAGTGAATTTTGTTGTCTAATTTGATTAAGTGTTACTTAGAACTGGGCTGGGAATTAACTGAGCAGTTGAAGCCCGGACTTAGACAAATGTTTTACTGAGCTCTTACTGTGAAATCCAAATATGACTACAATTGGAATATTAGAGAGGACTTACCAATTATTGTATGCTTTTCTGTGGAATGAACTTGCGTAGCTTAGTTTTAGTTCCATAAATAGACCAAGTTAGACATAATCAGCAGCTGTAGCTCGTGTTGAAGTCAACAAATTGCTTCCAATTCATAAGCAAACGCCGCTCCAATATGCCCTTCCATAAGTGCTGCCTTTGATTGAATGTTATCAAGTTAGCAAGATTATTGATTCGCAATTTACGTACTTTTAGTGCATCTATAAGTCGCACAATCTGCACTAATAAGTTGCTCAACTTCTTGATAAATCACAAAGGGGCATGCCTCGGATATGGCTGATGATTGCAAAAGTTAAATGAACTTTAAGTTTTAAGGCAGCTTAGCGCAGCGCGTTTGATTTGCGTCTTATGCCAAAATTGGCCAGCTTTGCATATTGATGTGGGCATTAGGTGCACAACTTTCCAACAGCAAGACGCGGCAACAAGTTGGCTTGGTAATCGGCAGCAACAACTATTGAATTGTGTGCGGCGCTCATAAGTTGCTGCCTCGCGTTGCGTATACGCACTGTGGCCCGGAGTGCATGCAGAACTCTGTCATTTGAGATTCCGGCCGCGTCCGGCCCGGGCCGTAAGCGTGACAAAGAAACGGATTTTTATGTTGGTCATAAAGTTGCCGACTGCCTCTTGTTGCCGTCCCTCGTCGACATTGGCTTTTGTTTTATTTTATTATGCTGATATTTTGGCTTACGTTATTCTCAATGTCCTTGTTGTTGTTGTTGTTGTCCTTGCACTAAATCAAAGTGTCGTTTAGCCAGCGGCATGCAAAGCCCGCCTGACCAAGTTTATTGGCCTTGATTGTTATGGCCTCATTTCGGTTTTTGCATAACAATTAGTCAGGCCAATTTGATTAGCGTTCGCCCATTAAATAATGCACCCGCTTTTCGGTTGCCTCATCCAATTTTCAACTGAAATTGAAAAGCGCGAAACGAAAATTAATGCAAAAACGGGAAAGGACGCCTAACCACGGCACGCCGAAGATTTAATACCCTTAAAGACAATGAGGCGAAGATATCATTTTACAAGAGAGCTTTATTTCCCATCCGTTATAAATCCAGGTGTCATATATAATAGAGTAATCAAATTGAATACGACGTGTTAAGAGAAAACTAAGCACTCACTCAACCTGCAAGAGAGAGAGAGAGAGAAAGGAACTAGGCTAAGCATCATGGCAATAGTTGGCATAGAAATGGGCATAGAAACAATATATATTTATATATATGAAGATTTCATGATCATATTATACCCCCCAAAAGCAGACAGAAAACAGACAAAATACGGGTAAGAACTATTTATCCATAATTTATTGTTACCAATTCATTGAAACAATACCCTAATCAATAGCTTTCTCTTAGCACAAATGTCCAAGCTTTTTAATATGTCGAATAATACTTACTAATGAATTCTTTAGAATAAGACATTTTTGTTAATATATAATTTTGACATGTTATTTATATTAAAATAAGTTAAAGAAAACTGGACATGTTAATAGATATAATTCTTTCAAGATATGCATAATTAAGCCGAGCTAAGCTAAAAGAAAGTTTGCTATTGTTATAATTTTTCTAACTTTTTTATATAGCTATAAACTATAATGTCGCATATGGCCTTCTTAACCTTCGCTTTTAACTCCTAGAATAGAGATTTCGACATACAAATTTATTTAGTACGAAATGTAAAGCAAATATTTTCTCAATTTGCAGCAGGTTGCGGTAAGCTTTATGACAAACTCATCAAATACATGTTAGCAGGGTATGTGTCATGTGAAGAGGGTGGAGGGGTGGCAAAAAATGCGAATATCATATAAACGAGAGGCGCAATGAACCGCGAGAGTTGCAAGCGGCAAGCGGCTAGCTGGAAAATGCACAAGAGACACAAAGAAAATTGCAATAACAATTTGGCACAGACCCGAAAACTTGCTAGAACGAACCAAACAAAAAAAAAAAAAACACAATATTCGAATTTGTGGAAATTTTTGTTGTTGTATTTTTTGCCTTTATAGCTCGGTATTTGCATAGAAAAATTCAAATTAAACGAAAATGTGCAAAATACTGTGAATGGTTTTATCTGTTTTTGCATACCCTGTAAAAAGCTGGATCATAGGTATATTGAAATCGTGCTGATGCTTCTGTAATCATATACTTTATGCATCTTCTGGTCGTTCCTACTTTTTCTAAATCGATTAATATCGATTTTACAGACTCTCTAATACCATCTAGAATCTTAGCTAGAATATTAACTTTTAGTAAGTCTTACGTAACTTTCTACAAAACTAAAGAAAGAAAGAGAAATTGTTATAGATTCGATATAGGGTATATTCCCATATCTGAATACAATTTTCAAGTTCATTAAACATCATAACGATTGCATAATAAACACATAAGCTATTCGAGAACTATTTTGCAGGAGTACAGGATATCTACTAGTCGGCTGTGCTGCTCCTAAATCACTTTAGCTTGTTTTCTGCTTGCTTTGTTATTGCTCTTCTTCTTATAAAAATGCAACAATTGACAAGGAAAAAAAGCGAAAACTGACATTTGTAGCTCAAATGAGCAGCCGGCCAGGCGGACGGACACAGCAGCAATTGACAAAAGATAACAAAGGCTGAGGGATGCAGAGCAGGGGCGGGGCGGGGGCGTATGCTCTATAGAGTGTGCTCAAATTGTTCGTCTAATGACAAAGTAAATTGTTTGCATTTGCACTTCAGCAGCAGCAGCAGCAGCACAACAACAACAACAACAACTGATGACCGATGGACTCTCAAGGACCTGTCCATCTCTGAACGCATTTAAGTTGAAAGTTTGCAATTGAATAAATAATGAAATAAGCCCCATTTCGAGTGCCAACCACAAGTGGATGTGCATGTCCAAGCGACGACGTGGTTAAGTTGTCTTGAACACAGCCCGACGGCCAGTACCAATCGTTGTTCATTATTCATATATACCCTGTAAATGTTGACATAAGGTATATTGCAGTTGTGCATGTAACGGACAATCAGACTTGATATACAAGTGCAAGAGTAAGCACAGCTGCAGCTAGAGGCATGTGTATGTATGTATTTCTTTTTATAGAAGCTCTAGCGTGCCGACAGGGTATTTCCAAGTCATGCACTTTCCACTCGTTGCTGTTTACTGTTGTTCCTTAATTAAGACGCTGGCGCTTATTTGTCTTAAACGTCTTACCCCCTCCCCCTCCTCTTACCATATCTCAATCATCGCTTATCCACTTAACTTTTGGCCACGCCCCCTGACTTATTGTATTTGCACAGGCACCTTCCCGTCGCCTGGAAGAATGCACAGTGCAAGTGCACGGCAGGCAACAAAAAAAAAGCAGAAAAAAGAAAACAACAACAACAACAACTGTCAACAACCGCTACTGATTGCAGCCTCCTTCCAGTGTGGACTCAAGTGGCATAGTTGGCATTTATGCGCGCCGCTGCAAGCAAACTTTTATTACAACAATGCCGGAAAGTTACGCACCTCAAACACCCTTTCAAGTTTGCGCACTCCATAAGAGTTACACACACACAATTCAATAAAAACTTTGCACACAATAAGAAAATATCACAACTTTTCGCGGTCACTGCGGCAAATGTACTCAATGCAAGCAGCTATCGATTACTGGCCAACAGTATCGATACTTGGAATAAAGGCACGCAGTCGAGGATCGCTTGTGCGTGTGTTCACTAGGCGCGTTGATTATTGTCAAGTTTGTGTGTTATTATGCGAAGTTAATGAATAAAATAATTAATTGCTTGTCTCAAAAACTCTAAAAACTTTGCACAATATGAAAATATCACGACTTCCCCCGGTCACTGCGGCAAATGTACTCAGTGCAAGCAGCTATCGATTACTGGTCAATAGTATCGATACTGGGCATGAACGCACGCAGTCAAGGATCGCTCGCGCGTGTGTTTACTAGGCGCGTTCATTATTGCCAAGTTTGTGTGTTATTATGGGAAGTTAATGAATAAAATAATGAATTGCTTGTCTCGTTTTACTTCTCACTACGCACTGAGTCTGTTAATTGTGAGCTTATTGTGAACTGCATGCCGCTTCGTGTAGTACGACAAGCCGTGGCCGCAAATTTAAACGATATTTATTCGTGTTCTATCGATACTCAGCTTCTTACATACTCGCGTAATGTTAACCGTTGTTTGTGCGCGTTTTTTCCGTGGTGTTTGTGTAAAATTAATGAATAAAAGTGAATAAGTGGCAGGTAAGTTTCACTTGAACATATTTATTATATACTTAGTTGTATTGCATAAAAGACAAACAATTCTTAGTACCCTATGCGGCTTGTACAAAGAATAAGCATTTTTAAAAGTGTTTCATTTATGCCTTTTGTTTTCGTTCACTTTGCACTTGGTATTTCATCTCCCACTCTCTCCCCCCCCACCCTCGCTCGCGCTCACATGCTGCAATTGCCTTTGTGCCTGTCCGTCACGATGTCTATCTGTATGTCAGTTGCTCTTTTCTTTTTATCGCATTTTTATACCCTGCAAGCAATGCAAATGAGTTAAAAGGGGCATATTGGAGTTAACCAAATGAGTGCAACTGGCATAAATAGTTAGATCGGTTCCAATTACTAAAAACATTTTGCTCCAATAGAAAAGATCGGATGAAAAGTGAGTTAAGTATAAAAGTCGTATCAAGTATGTAAGCATATACTACACGGCTGCTATGCACTTGCTAGGGTATTTTATATTCGGCAAGCCAAAGTTAACTGTTCTTTCGTTATTTTATTTCTTTTGTGCATTATGATTCTGCATTCATTGGCAACGCCATTTGTGCAGTTTGCACCATTGTCCGCATGCAAATTTCGTTCGGTTGCGGCCCACTGTTTACGGTTCGCAGCACCAACTGTCAACAGTTTTCATAAATCTTCATCCCACTGTGGACATCATCAGCGCTTGGACCTGGGCCTGCACTTGTCTCAAGATACAGTTATCTTAAGTGCTCTAAGTGCACGCTGTCAGTCTGTTTGCGTTGCTCTGCTTTGGGGTTTCTTTTCGTTTTGTCTTTTTTTTTTTTTTTTGGGGAATTCTCTTTGTTTTGTCGGGGGCGTTCGCTTAACTGTTTTTGACATGTTCTCATAGCTAAATAAATTCCCAAAATGCCAGCGAAATTGAATTGCACTTTTTTTTCTGTTTTTGTTGTCGTAGTAGGGGTATTCCTGTCAGACAATGCAATTTGTCTTTTGACATCTTCAGTGAAATGTCTGTGGAATGTTTCGGCACTTACTTTCCTTTCGCCCAGCCATGTGGCTGTTTGTGTGTGTGTGTGTTTTTTTACTGTCTCGCAGCATTGATATGTTAATCTGAACTTTCACCTTTCGCTGGGGCTTTATTAAGACTTTAAGCAGCGCATAAAATCAAATTGGTCAAGGCCCTGCGACAGGTCAGCGTGTTAGCGCCTGACACGGACATTTGTTGTTTCCATAACAATCAAGTTTTATGGTCAACAGCATTAACAATAGTACACTTGGAGAAAATTTTGAGCATTTTTCACGTGCAATAGGAAAATATGTCAAAAGGTTGGGCTTACATATTTTGAGCTTAGTTCAAGTACTTTTACTTTAAGCATGAAACTCTCAGATTGAAGTTTATTACTCAAACTTAAAACTTATTTTAAGTGTGCCTCTTCTAAAAATAAGTATTTTTTGCTTAAATTGAGTTTTTCTAAAGGGCTAATATTGATGTCAAGAATATACATACATTATTAAACAAATATATATGTATGTATACGAAATACGAAATATTCTTGAAAGTTTATGAACCGAAATTAGCATGCAGCTTTTCTCTGAGTGTATTCGCAGCACAAATCGTCACGGCTTCAAAAGTACCGTTGCTTGTGGCCATTTGCGAAACCTGTTTTTTCTCTTTATATTTGGGTGGAGGCTATTTTGACAATGTTTTGCACATTCTTAGAACATTTCGAATGATTGTTCATATGCAAATTAGCCCCTCGCGACGACTCGATCTGCGACTGACCCAAATTGGAGGGCAATAAAATTGGTTGAGTGTGCGGAAATCGGTTTAGTCGATGAGAGAACGGCACGCCCAACGCCCAAATTATGCTGGCCAAATCATTTTTATTGGTGCTCATCAGCCTGGCAGCATGTAAAGCAGAGACACGAATTGGTTTCCAGTGAAAGTCCAGCTAATAGCCAAATCTCTTACAGCTACGGCGCAATTTAGCCAGGTGCCGCGCAAGCACTGGCGACGTGCAGCCGTCCACGGCGCCTTCAATGTGGATGCGTATGCGTACAACAAGCCCATGGTGAATCTGGTGGGACATTTGCCTCCACCCGGCCAGGCGCTGCCCATGGGCCAGCTGTTGGAGCAGCTTGCGCAGAGCAGCCGACTGCGGGCCCTGCCGAAGGGGCAGTACAGGAATCTCGACCGGGAGCCGTCGCGCCTTAATGGAGAGCCGAGACAATCGGCTGCTGATTTTGGAGGCAGCCTGGAACCGTCGGCATTGGCTGCCCTAAACAGTCAATTGGCCAAGCTGCAAATGAACTTAAGTTTGGATCAAGCGAATATATATTCGCACGAATTTCACGTGGAGAACAAAGGCAACAGGAAAATTGTGCTAATTAACACGCTGGACGAGGCCAAGACAGAGTCTGAGCAGCCGCTGAAGGAGGAGCCAGAGCAGGAGCAGCTACAACTGGGTCCATTGAATGTAAAATTGGCATTACCTGTGCTCGGGGAGGGTGAGGGTGTAACACAGAAGGTCGATTCGAGCAAAATTGTGATGAACACTGAAGCAATTAGCTCTATGAAAGCTATGCAATCCGAAATGGAGGAGTCTAAGAAGACCAAAGGGGCAAATGACAGCAAAGAGCGAGCAAATGATGCGACAACAATCGAAATGGAATCAACAGCAACAGCAACAACAGCTGTCGAGCCAGGACAGCAGCAGCATTCGGAGACTGTTGTCAATGCAAAGCAGGAGCAGGTGGAGCGACAGAAACAGAAGCTGGGAGAGCTACAGCAGAAGGTAAAGCAAGCCAAGGCAAAGGAGGAGATGAAGACGCATCAGGCGGGCGAGATGCAGCAGCAGAAGGAAAAGCAACTGCAGCAGGCGCATCAGTTGCAGATGAAGTCAAAGAAGGGTCAGAGCGTTGATGACGTTGCCATTTCCAAGAAACGTGACAGGCACAATGACAATGATGCCCAAGCAAATGGCATGAATATGCCGCCAAAGCCAAAGCCAGAGCCAGAGCCAGAGATCAAGCCAACTGCAGTCGGAGCTGGAGCCGGAGCAGCAGATAAGCCACTGGGCCTGGCCAGCAAACCGAAGTCCAAGCGCAGGCAAACACAAACAAAAACCAAGATACCAAATGGAATTGATACAAAGCCCAATGCTTCAAGTGCTGCACAGTCCAACGCTCCAACGAGTACCATTCGGCCAGCGTCAACTGATGAAAAGCTGACGACTGCCACAGCAGATGTCAAAGCCCCGGCCATGGCAATCAACAGCTACAGCCAGGCCACACGCAGGCCAATCCTAAAAAAGGGTAACAAAATTCCCAGCAAGGGCAAAGGGAAACGAAGGGGCGCTCAACGGCGACCCAGTGCAGCAGCTGCTGATGAGCAGGATATCGAAACTACGACAAATTGGTGGCAGATACTACCATATGCGGAAATTAGAAAATTTTTGAATACCATCTATGATAGCATGACCGACGAGGCGGACGACGAGCGTGCCCAGCAAATATGAGAGGCGGGGGCGTCTCCATGTGTGTGTGGGCCAAAGCCAATACCAAAAGCTAGCTTATAGAGCTTGGCCAGGGTGTCGGGCGGGGTCTAGATGGGGGGATCGGTCTTGTCCAGCTTTGAATTGAATTTCCGCTTGGAGGTTCTTTTTGTGTTGATTACGACAAGCCAGCGTGTAAGTTTTCGGACTTGGTAATAAAAAAAAAAAAATATAAATAAAATATAATCGTAAAAGCGCAACAATGAAAGCTAAAAACTTCTTAAGTTTCCCGTTCAATTTAACAGTTTGTATACACTTGTATCCTTTTTACGATTGGCTGCACAGTAAACAATTTTTGATTACAACTTGAAAAAAGATTTGCAACCTTAAAGCTGCTTGAACAGTTTTAATAGTTTTCAGTCTAGCCAGGCAAGGAAATAAAATAATTTATTTTTCTTTAAAAAACGAAGAAAAATTCAATTTTTAAAGCTTTATATACACTTGTATCAGCTAATGAATATTTATTTACGCTTTTATTATTTAATGCCCGATTTTGTAGCGAGTTTCACTTGCGCTTTCTAAGCCATTTCCTGCCACAGCTTAAAGTATGCAAATCTCTTTAAATAATAAATAAGCATATTTCTTGCTTTATTTGTGCGACCTTTACGCCGGTTTTCTCTACGGTCCGAAAGATTTTAATGCTGTTGCGTTGACAACTCGTTGACTTCATTAAAATGCTGCTTGCCAGTTTATTTATTAATAACTAATTAAACAAACAAAAAGACGAGCATAAAGATGGCTTTGTTCACGCCAAATAAACTGTGTATAAAATATACCCTTTTGTGGAGTATGTTTATATTGTCAGACATCTGCGAAGCTATTAAGTATCATATATCGGCTTCAACAGCCGAGTACATATAGGAAATTATCATATATCGAGCCGACCCGACTGAATCGGCGGACTATATCATTGGAATTATCGGTGCAAACTTCTTGCATGAACAACATTTTTGTTTTTATCTACCTCTATATATCTTATCCAAGCTGGGCATATTTAATGTATTATATATATTACGAATCGCATCTACATCGGACTGACTATCGGTCAGGAAATGAGACTGTGTTATTTTTTTAGTTTTTCAACAAAGTGTGTTCAATCTTCGGCTTACCGCAAACATATTTTCAATCTTGTTTTGATTTTTAGTTTTTTTGTTTTTTTTTTTTTTTGGCCCAGGTCAGCAGCTGTGACACGCGCCCGGCCACGGGTTAAAGTTGAAAGCGGTCGAACGGCTTCCAGTTGGCGCTTGGCGTGAATTGGACATTAATGAGCTAATAGTTTTTATTTATCGTGTGATCGCCTCCGGGCGGGCAGCACAGCCTCGGCTACTGAATAGCTGGCCACTAACATGAATCGTTAGCTCTTAAGTGGCTTTTTTTTTTTGTATTTTATTTATTTTTTATTAGCTTGTTTTGATTTATTGAATTTAGACAGCCGTAGCGGTACTTTTGAGCTTGGCTTTTTGTTTACATAAGCATTTTGTTGTTGGCCAGCAGACGCTTTCTTTTCCTTGACTTTGACTTTGAGTTTGATTTTGCTTTTGGCCTGGGCCTTGGCTTTGGCTTTGGCTTGAACACCGTCTCCACCTGCGCATAGATGAGTAGTTCGTGGTTGTTGTTGACGCCGGGCACCGCAAAGCTGAGCAGCGACAGGTTGGGCGAAGCAGTGGATGTGCCAGCGGCTGGTCGAGTCACCACCTCCATCTGCTCGCCTGCAGCATCTTGGCTGCTGGGCAGCTCCACCTGGAATGGATGGCCCTCGTACAGATGCAGCTGCCAGTCGCAGAGCTGCGGCATCAGCTGGCAACGTGCTGTCGCATTGTCAGCTATGAGCGCCACCTGGTCGTAGCTTAATTGAGGTATTTGCTGCAGTGCCTCGAGGCTGGGCGGGGCCACAGCTTCGCTGCGTATGGCCAATTGTAAAAGCAGCCACAGTAAAGTTCCACTTAATGGCCACATGGTGTTTGCGACACCTTCTCCTAAGTACCAGCTGCTCTCGCGGCTCGATTGCGACTGGCAAATAGTTTCAACTGCGCGAAATCCCAACAAAAACCCGTTCAAACTCGTTTATGAAAATGAAAGTGTATGAGATTTGAACTCTTGAAAGACCTAATTTATATTTACGCATATCACATGAAATTAATGTGAGATACATGAAATATGTTTTATCTTTCCTCTGAATCATTAAAAAACTGCTAAAATTCCCAACTAGTTGAACCGTCAACTGCTCGCCTGTTAGTCCAACTTTGAACTAACATAAAGACAATTATTAATTATTTTTTTACATATCTTATTTTTGTTTTCATTTATGATAGCGACTTCTTGAAATTAATTTAATGCTGGAACTCTTTTGCTTAGCCTTGGGTGTTATCATATAAATTTTATTCTTGCTCTTGCTGCGTATTCGCTGACTATTGTATCGGCGTGTGGGCCTCAATGTGTGCCTGAATGTTTGTCGGTTGGTTGTAGCTGGAGCTATCAATATAAGTGGATTGCCATTGCCATCGGTTAGTTCCATAAAGTGCGCCTCATCGGGCTGATCGCAGAGCTTGGGATGATAATGGCACAGTGAGGTCACAGATTGCGGTCGCGATTTGATGGACAACTGTTGCTCCGGCTTCAGCTCAGCTTCTGGTGCACTATAATCGTCAGCGAAGTTCGATACAATATATTCTCTGACAGGTTGGTTGGTTGTGATGGTGCTTGTAGGAGGCGGTGTGCTCGAAGGAGGCGATGTGCTTGTAGGAGGCGGCGCCGTGGTTACGGTTGCACTTGTGCTAGGCCTAGGCGTGGTGGTTGAAGCTGTAGTGGCTGGAGTTGTGGTTGAGGTAGTTGTAGCGGCCGTGGTTGTAGTCGCAGCCGCTGTGCTTGTAGTCAAAGGACTTCTGGTGGTCGTCGTGGGTCGAGGCCTGCGTGTGGGTCTGGGTCTGGGTGGCGGACGCGGCCAAGGCACGTATTCCACATACGGCGGATTATGGTAATAGTAGTTCTCCCAATAGTTGTTATAGTAATCATCGATGGCAGCAGGATCCACTTTCTGTCTGTGGACCTTCTGCTTCTTGTGTGGTGCGCTAAATGCGTTCGTTATCCGCGAATACAAATCGCTTATATCCCAACCTGGAATATTCATTCTCAACTGGCTGCGATCAACTTTTGACTGGCTCCAGGCGGGCGCCGCCAACAAGATCCACAGACACGCCTGACTAATAAACATCTGCGACAAACTGTATAGGAATCGATTGGGCCCGGGTCAGAACCTAACTAACAGCGACTTATGCCAAGTGCTTTTATATAGATGCAGTTGGCCCAAAATGAAACAAGTCGCATGCCGATGATTGATGTTCGCCCAAGGCGCCACGAATCAAGAAATCTTTATTAGTTTTGACAATAAATTACAAACAATACACGACGATTATCACTTGTTTTAACCACGACCACCGCTGTGCAGATTAACACCAACGGCTTAGGGCTACCAATTTAAAAAGATATCTTATTTTGCCTATTTGTTAGTGTTTAGGTACTTGCCGCGCTCTTCAGTTAGTTCCGCACGCTGGCTTCATTGGGTTGTCCGCAAGCTCTCGAATAGAAACTACACATAACTGTGAAGAAATCGTTCTTGGCTAACTGTGACTTGCTCTTGGGCTCATTTTCTGAATTCACGTTTTCCTTGAATCCATACGGAATAGGCGTTGTTTGTAAACGACTGGAAAACCCAACAGACGTGGTTGTTGAAGTTGTTGGCGTAGGCTGCGAGGGCTTTTCCGGTATATGGACAGTTCGCATGGCATAAACTGGCACAGGATAGATCCAGTAAGGATAGGATGGATATTTGTTGTAAGAATTCGCTTGTGAATGATCCTGGCTTTCACTCAATAACCTGGTCATTTCGGTTGGTCTTCTATATGTGGGCTCTGTTGGATTTGTTGAAGGTGTAGTTGGTTCTGTTGTCGTTCTTGGAGGTGTTTTTGTGGGTCGACCTGTTGGATTGGTTGGCCGAAGAGTTGTAGAAGAAGGCATTGTTGAAGGACGTTGCACCTTACGTTTTGCATAGACTGGCACAGGATAAAACCCAGGTGGTTTCATAGGTTGTAGAATCATTGGATGATAAATGAATCCTTCATTGTTATAAGCTCCAGTTATATGCCGTGCTGACATTCCAGCTGGCTCTGCCCAAGCAGCTGTAGTCAACATCATCAAAAGATAACCGAGACTGTGAAGCATTTTATTTTATTTTCAAGTTTCACTTTATTTTCGACCGACAACGACGAGCAATGCATCGCATTCAAAACTAAACTGAATCTAAGCCGATGCAACAGATTTTATACAAAAAGCCGACCACGTCGATGGCACAGCAGCTTATTGCTTTATTTTATCTAAATGCAGCTGGCTTTCATTGATAATAAAATACAAATAAATAACTTTCTAGACTGATGAGGCCAGCTGTTGGCTTTGGAGCAGGTCACTTGATACATTTTTTGGGTACGATCTCTGTGCAAGTTGGAGCTGCATGAGTTGTATGTGACGGATGGGTTGGACGTGTAGAGTGGGGCGACCACGTTGGGTTGGATGGAATCGGATATATTGGCATGGGATATAGCCAAGTTGGTGGATTATAGTAATCATATATTCGATCTAGCATTTTGTCCAGATCCCAAAAAATCCCATTTAAAGACAAAGGCATGATCATGTTTTAACATCTTCTGTTTTATTGCTCTTAATCGTAGATAAATTCAAATTTTTTGTTATTATCATTGTAAGTATTTATAAAGCTAATACATTAAGAATAATTGAGGCTTGAATGATTTTTTAGACGAATGAGCTGCGCTTTGTCGTAAACTCTTCAATGTAATTGAAAATAATATTTATTTACACTCTTTGTGTGCTCTACTCTGTGGAGAGAGCAGATTGAGGATTAGAGGTTGACCAAATTCGTGGACTAAAAGCGCATATCAATGAGGCTGAATGTGGCGCTAAATCGACCTTGCCATCATTTATTGGAGTCTGCTTTTGGCCTTTTTCACGCTGAGTCTCAGTAGCTGAAATGTTCCTCAACTCCTGAGACGATTTTGTCTTAGGCTGATCGTAGCTCTTCAAATTTCTAGTTTCCTGTGTAGGCAGTGTTATCGGCGCTTGAGTTGTTGTTGTTGTTGTTGTTGTTCGTAGCTTGCGCTTAAGCAACAGACGTTTGGTTTTTGGAAATAATGGCACGGTATAGCTCCATGACGGCGGATCATAGTAATAGTTTTGATTGTAATCGCTCAGATCTTCCAGTTTTTTTCTATACACAGACCAACGATTCGATGTGCCTCTAAAGACATTCACTATGCGGGAGTAGCTTTGACTAAGATCCCAAACAGGTAATTGCACAGTATATTCAACGGTCTTAAGCGATATACCCCATGTCGTACCTGTCGCTATCAGTAAAAAGGTCAGAAAGTTCAACAACATTTTGGGCGTTTAAGTTGCTCCTCTTGACTGCGCAGTTGAGACTTTGACGTGATACTGAGCTGATAATGTCGCAACTCAAAAGATTTTATACAATTTCACAATAGCCAGTCCTGGCAACTGATACCAACTAATCCAACATATAATCGCTTTATATTAACGACTTTACCTAGTTAAACTCAATGTTGTCGTTTAATAAATTACATATCATTTTATTTTATTATCTTATTTTGCCAATCACAAACGTAAGCAACTTTCTAGTCTAAAGATCTGTAGTCAAGTTAACTTGGCTAAAACTGAGTCGTGCTCGGTCTGGCTTTGTAGTAGGTGTAGCCCGGGCGAGCGCCCACGAGGCGGCGACGCAACGGCTTATGGTTGGGTGTTAGCAATATCAAAGGCCTGCCATTTTTGTCAGTTAGTCGCACAAATTGCGTTTGCGGTTCTAAAGCAACTCCAGGATGTTCCGCATCATTGTCAACATCTGCGATGCTATCATCATCATTATTGGGTGCAAATACATGATCCTCGGCTTCGGATACAGGAGATCGAACTCTAAAACTATCCAGTTTGTTGTTCACAAGTCGGGGTCTTGTACTCGGCAGGGCTGTCGAGGTTGGGCCTTCCGTTGAAGTGGGCAAGGCGGTGGAAGTCGTCAACCCTGCAACCGTTGGAATCGCTGTTGAGGTGGTTGGCAATGCAGTCGAGGTGGGTATCGCTGTTGAGGTAGTTGGCAATGCAGTCGAGGTGGGTATCGCTGTTGAGGTAGTTGGCAATGCAGTCGAGGTGGGTATCGCTGTTGAGGTAGTTGGCAATGCAGTCGAGGTGGGTATCGCTGTTGAGGTAGTTGGCAATGCAGTCGAGGTGGGTATTGCTGTTGAGGTAGGAATAGCTGTTGAAGTAGTTGGTGCTCCAGTGGATGTTGGAATTGCCGTTGAAGTAGTTGGTGCTCCAGTGGATGTTGGAATAGCTGTTGAAGTAGTCGGTGTTCCAGTGGATGTTGGAATAGCCGTTGAAGTAGTCGGTGTTCCAGTGGATGTTGGAATAGCCGTTGAAGTAGTCGGTGTTCCAGTGGATGTTGGAATAGCCGTTGAAGTAGTTGGCGTTGCAGTTGTGGACCTTGTTGGCCTTGTAGTGGGCCTCGTAGTTGGTCTTATAGTCGGCCTTGGTCTTGTAGGCCGGCTGTTAGCTAAACTTAGCTGATACAAGTAATAATTGTAAGCGGCCAAACTGTTGTAGTAATTATAGTAATTCCAATAATCATTGTAAAAGTTATTCGGGTTGTATAAATCGAAATTGTAGTTTTCATTATCCTGTTCATGGTCCTGTTCCTGTTGCTGATGTTGATGTTTATGTTGCTGCTTTTGCAGCTGACCTGTTGGGCTGCTTGCAGACCCAGCTAGTTGGTGAAAAATGTCGCGTATGTTCCAGGCTGGGACCTTGATTTGCAACTCAGCCCAAACAGGGCCAGCCAACACCAATAAAAGCCAAACGCGATCAATTAACATGTTCCTAAGAAATTTTTTATTCACCGGCGACTTCACGTCTTAGCACCGCGTGCAGAACTGAACTGTTCGCAGCGTAGCTCGAGTGCTTATATATAATCTTAAACTACCCAGCCGCGCGATGGGAACAGCCAACTTTATAGACTTTGACTTTGACTACAATAAAAACAATTTGTAAGCATCTCAACTTTATGGGCTTAGGCCAAAAGCAGGCCGAGTTAGAACGAACCTTTGCCGATTATCGCTAAAATAAATGCGAGAGCTGCGATCGGCACAAAACAAACTCTAGATAGCGTACAGCTGTTGTGGTCTATAGTAGCTGTAGACCGGTAGAACAACTGCTGCTGTTGGCTGCTGCAGCGTTTTATTTGAATACCGCGAATCAGCAAAGTGCTGATTATTATCCAGCTCGTACTTGATGCGTGAACCATTCTTAAAGTCTATGTAATCGTAGTCGGGGTCATTGTCATTGCTGCTATCATCATTGCTCGGCAGCTGCGCCTCCTTCTCAACGCCAGCCGGCGGTGTTGGCTGCGGCGGCTTGGTGGTCTGTGCCGCCATCACCTGCTGCAGCAGGTCCGCCAGCACAGCCGGCTGTATGTTGGGGCGGGGTCCTCCATTGGCTGCCATCGATTGTAGGCCCTGCAGCACGCCCTGAATGAACTGTTCACGTATCTGGGCATTGGCATCTGGACTCGCATCGTTCTGTGCATTCTGTGGCGGCGCATCGGCAGCCACCTGAGGTGGCATACGTGTTATCGTGGGCTCATCTTGTGGTCGTCTTATGGGAATGCCGGGCAACACGCCGCCGCCGCCGCCGACACCGACACTGCCAGCCACGTCCAGCTGTGGCAGGGCCAAGGGATAGCCGAGCAGCAGCAGCAAAGGCAAGGTCGTGCGCGGCTGTATCCGTTCCGTTTCCACTTTCCCAGACTGTGCATGGCAAGCCGTCCAGAGCGTGGTCAGAGCAATAATTTGGAGCGCAGCTTGCGGTTTCATATCGGTTGCGAGTTCGCTGACCAACTAAATGCCGCTGGAAGCGGTTTTGCATATTTAGCGAGCTCCGAGCTCCACATAAATGCTAATGGCGCGGATAAACGCAGAGCAGACAGGTGAAATCTTTTATAAATTTCACCCAAACAAAGAAGAACAGGCATCTCATAAAGGTGGTCTTTCAGTCGTTTATTTACACACTAATTAATTAATAAATAATTCGCTTGGGTCGATGCTTAGGCAGTCGCTGCTTTTTGCGGCGAGTCTTGAGTTTTCTGTCTGGCTGGAACTTGGTTTTGGTCTTCGTCTTGGACTTGTAGCCGGCATCAGAATGGCGCCACAAGTCATCGCCATCGCCATAATCGGCCTCCTCTATATCAGCATACTCATCGATGCCATAATCGTCAGCCTCGTCGAACTCATTAGCCAAGCCCAAGCCGTCCTCCTGCTCTTCGTCATAATCCTCGTAGGCCAGCTGCTGCTGCTGTGCATTGAACTGCTGCGACTGTCTTTGCAGCCATTGTCGATAGGGCGCAAAGTCGGCATAGAGCTGGCTGCGGCCATCATTAAAATCAGCATTGTGCAGCTCATAGCCACGCCTGCGATAGCCTCTGCGAATTGCCTCATTGTTTAGATTGACATAATTGTAAAAATTGGACGCTCCAAAGCCAGCATTTGGACTGTAGGAGGGCTGGGGCAGCACCTGTACGCCGGGTAGGCTATTGTAATTGCTTGAGCCATAGATTTGTGCATAATCAGGATAGCCGTAGCCATAGCCATAGCCATAACCAGAGCCGGAGCCATGCTCATCAGCGTGTCCGTGAGCGTGAGCATGAGCATGTGCGGGTCCCGCTCCCGGTCCCGGTGCATGCCCCAGTCCCGGTCCATAGGCATAACCAAAGCCGCCAATCAATTGCTGTCCGTTTGGCTGATTCGGTATTTGTATGTTGAGAACTTCATTGCTGCGCTGTATTTCACTGGCAGGATCATAAAAGCCATTGAGAGGATACGGCAGAACAACAACAGGTTGAGCTGTGGGCGCTTGCCTTTGACCAACAGCTTCGTCCGGCTTGACAGCCGCCATCTCAGCGGGCTTCTCTTTGGTTGTGTTGAAAAGTCTGCTGTATAGTCTGCCCAGATTGATAAGCGGCACTTCATTATAGATCCGTGTGAAATTAATGCTCGGCAGTTCGAGCACCAGCCTATTATGATCCGCTTCACGTAGCTCCTGTTGCGCCCAAACACCATCTGTGACAGCTCCGAGCGTTATGGCCAGCAGGAGCAGTAGCTCCAGTTGCTGGCGAATTGACATCTTGATCGTGACTGACCCGAGTTAACAAGCTGGCCCTGCCTTTTATAACATGTCGTTGGCTACATTTTTGGTATTTTGTATTTTTTTTTTAAATGTTAAAACTCAAACTTGATTTGCATAAATAATTGACATATTAGCTAATTAAAATTGATTTCTTGATTTAATTTACGGCTGACGTCACGCCTCCTTTCAAAAACAATTAAATCAATAGAACTCGGGTCACGCCCGAGTTGATTTGCATTTCTTTGAGAAGAAAAAAAAATTCGTCCAGAGGTTACAATTTTTAACTATTTATTATATACTTGAGATTTTTCTGACATTTCCATAAGATCATTTTCGACTATGGAATATTTGAAATTAAACTATATTTAAGATTGTTAAAAAGTTTTTGCTTTTCAAAAAAAAAAATACATTTGGAAGAAATGTTTGAACTCTATAATAAGCAATAAGCATTACTTCGTAGATTTCTTTCATCTCAATCTTGGGATTAAATATTTACAGAATTTTAGCGATGGACTATTAAACAGTTTTAATGAAAACTTGAATTGTGTTATAAAACAATTTTTATTGATTCCCAGTATTTCTTTCCCATCGTTGTCATATGATAAAAACTCATGGCACAACATGCATTTGGAGAACTTTAAAACAAATAGTATCTATTCCGCAGTAACCTTTTCATCCCAAATAAATTTCAATTATATTTTAAAATATATATCTTTTTATTTTGCACATTTGATACATAAATGTAAGCCAGTCAAAAGTTTGATCTAGGCAAGCGGCTCCATTACCGTGGACTGAGCTTGCGCTTCGGCTTCCGGTTCGAGGGCCAAATAGACCAGCTTTGTGTGATTCCTGTTCTTCTTGTTCTTCTTTTTTGATTTCTGGGAACGACGCACTGTATACTGCTGTCTCTTGGGCTTGGTCTTCGGTCGGGTAGGCTCAACTTCATCCAGTTCCTCTTGCGTCTCGTCCAGATTGATGGCAATCAGTTGGCTCGTAGGCGGTGCATAGTATTGCTGTGGCTGCTGCTGATAGATTAGACTATTGGGTGCCACTGCTGCGACTGGGCTGGAGTACTGCAGCAGCTGGGGCTGGGAGCCAATGGATTGGGCAAGCAGCTGCTGAGACAGTTGTGTCAAATAATTCAACTGTTGTTGGTCTAAACCGGAACGTGTGCCGTCCGTGATGTCTCCGGTTGTGGTGCCGCCGCTTGTGGTGCCGCCAGTTGATGTTGTGCCTGAGGTCAACACGGGCGAGTAGGTGATGTTGATGAATGGTGGGAAACCGTAGCCGCTAAAACCGGATCCATAGTGGTGATGCGGACGTGGACGTGGATAGTGTGGCCTAATGATGGGCTTAATGATTGTCGGCGGCGGTGGATGCGGATGATGCACGGGCACTGGAAACGGATATGGCTGCGGATAGGGCTGTGGATAGGGGTGCGGATACGGTGGCGGGGGATGCGATGGATATTGCGGCGGCGGATACGATGGTGCTGGATACGAGGGCTGTTGCGGCGGCGGCTGTATAATAATAGGCCTATCGTCATGATAGTGTGGATATCTCGGTGGATGATCTCTATCCGAATCTCTGATTATCGAAAAGACGCGTCCCTCGGCCGACGGCTCCTCCTCGTCAATCTCCTCCGAACTGGGCAAAGCAGCTCGAGCATACACATTCAGCGCCTGCGTCTGCGCCACAGCACAAAGCACCAGCAATAAAACAATATATCGTAACATGCTGCCCATATCAATGGATGGATATAGCCAATGCGAATTGACAAGCGAGCAGAACTGATCGACAGAAACCGCAGGGCGTCTTCTTATATAGATTCTAAAAGGCGTGCCAGCCTTTTGACATTAAGTTCGTAGTTCATTAAAGTTGAACCTATTAAAAATGTTAATCTAATCTATTGACAGTTGTCTTTATGTTGAGAAATGTATATTAATGTGCTATCAAATATGTGCATAACTTTATGGCAGGGTTTTTTTTTTTTTTTTTTTTGTCTTATTTTACCATGTCATAGTTGAGATTTGCACCAATGAGATTTTAATTCTTTATTTTTTAATGTTTATTTTTATCCAAAACGAAAACATAACAAAATATTTGCATAATCTCCGGCTGTTTGCGTCATCAAAAGTGTGAATGAAAGTTTGAATCATTTTAACTAATTAGCCGGGTCACATCGTTTATGCACAGCTCGTGACAACCATTTCAAAGCAGCTTTGCATTTGGGCCATTGTAAAACTGATTAACTGGCAGAGATATATTCCCTGGCAGCAAAGGATTTAATTGTAAGTCCTGCAGCTGTTGCTCATTCAGAGCTCTTCCACGACAAAACATTGACTGCAATTTGTTTTGGCAAGCGTTGAAGATTATTTCTTCAAGCAGTCTGAGGTCAACTCAACTTCTGTCTGATTTTGGAGAGGTTGTATTAAGTAACTGCGCGATAAGCGTCGATAATCGAATATTGGATACTTCCAAGTTACTTCAAAGTTTGCCATTTGAGCCGCAGCTTGCGAGCGCTGTGTCTGAAATACTGCGAAAGCAATTCTCCAAAACCTTTCAAGTTTTTATGAGCTCTGCGAGCAACAAATTCTCTAAACTCTTGTGCTCTTATAAATTGTTGCTCTTTATCTATGTGCTAGATACTTAAAAAATATTAAACAATTCTAGGCAATTTTAAATAGTTTAGCACTAAAAAGTAATTAGAAAATAAATCTAATTAATTTCTTTAAAAAGAAAGAATATTTATATCTTTCGATGCCGTACTCCTGAAAATTTCCAATTTATGCCCATATCTAACTAAAGAAACGGCTTTTTCTTTCTTTTAAAAAGGAGATAAATTATCCTTCGGCTAAGCACTTGCAAGCAGCTGCGCCCATTCTTCACATAACTAAATTTATTGCCCCTACCGCGGGTATTAAACAACTATTAACTCTTAAACTGTGAACATTTCTGAGCCATTAATTTTTAATAAAAAGAAACGTTAAACAGCTGTAGAACTCAAATATCAACAAAACACATGTTGGCAATGTCATTCATTAATTAGTTTCTGATCACGATTTGCATATTCGAATAAATATTTATAGCGCCGACAAAACTTTGATTTGACATGCTTTGATTTCCATCACTGTGGAATTTGTTGGGTGTTCTAAGCTGACTAAATTAGCTGAGCTGATTTGCATAAGAATAGTTCGTTTGATTATGGTCTTCAGTTTCGCGATATTTCATATTAGGCCCTTAGCTGGCGAAATTGGGTTAAGTGTGGGCACATGCTGAATGCACGAATCGAATGGACGATACTGTGGCCATTTAATATATACATACCTTTTGTCTATAAAAACGTATTTGCGAGAGAGCATTCGGACATTAAGAAAGAAGCGTTTACGAAATGAGCTCGAAAGTGGCCTTGTGCCTAATGGCTTTGGCGCTCTGCTGTGCTTCTACGGTTGCGCAGCCCATGGAGGAGGACTACGATGAAGACTATGCATCGGAACCATATGAGGAAGATATAGTCGGCGTGAACGAATATGCAGTTGAGGCAATTCAATGGCAATCGGGCGCTTATCCCAACTATTGCAATATAACCTATCAGAATCGTATCTACTATTATCTGGGTTATCCTTGTCCGCCGGCACCTGAACCAAGGCCACCGCGTCCGCATCCAGGACCGCATCCGACACATCGTCCTCATCCTACACATCAGCCTCATCCCACACATCAGCCCCATCCTACACACAGTCCCCATCCTACACATCATCCGCATCCTGGACCTTATCCACATCCGGGCTATCCTTATCCAGGCTATCCGTATCCCAGCCATCCTTATCCCACAAGAAGGCCAGAGTCCAAAAGAATCTGCGTGAAAATCGCAGGCATCGGTCTTCTTTGCACACCAGCAATACACATTCATGTTGATTAGAAATGTTTCGACCAATAAACTATGATAAATATATGTATATAACTATGAAACAAAGGCTTTTAATAATTTACTGACGACCTGGTTGAAAAACCTAGATAAATAATCGAGCTATTAGCTCAAAGTCTAGATTGAAAAATAGTAATAGTAAAAGTTAGTTGGAAAGTTTCGAAATGAAACCAATTAATAAACCGCTCAGTAATAATTCATTTTAATATACAAGCAAATATTTAAGATTTTAGAAATCGAATCTGTTTTAATGATTCATTGCAAATTTGCATTTGATAGCCGAAGTTTTGCTCTTTCACCGATTGGTTCACAGCTTCATGCTAAACAGTTAAGAAGTTGACATAGAGCCAATTAATTTAAATTCTAATGGAGCATAATAAATTCTACTCGAAAGACTAAACTGTATCAGTTTTTGTTATCAAATTATCTAGTAATAAATTTATAGCTTAAACTTCTAGATGTGTTATTTATTATTTAAATATGAATCATTTGCAAATGAAGTCAATCTTCAGGGCAATCAGAGCAGAGCTGCGATGCAGCCAAGTTCTCAGCTGCCTCATTTAAGAAGCTTAACTGATTTTCATGTTAATGCTCCACATTGAGCGTCGCCTTTGTGTTTAGTACAAACAACGTTGTGCATAACTGTAACAGATTCATCTGTCGCAAATTCATCTAGCTAAAAGTATATAAACTAAAGTACAATGTTCTGTCAATCAGTTCCAACTGTCTGCTCTCAACATGAGCTTGAAATTTGTTGTCTGCCTTCTGCTGGGCCTCTGCTGCGGCCGAGCTGCGGCCACGGATGACGCTGAGACGCCGGTCTACAAATTAGAGGGCGCTAGCATCGAGGATCAGGATGTGTATGTTGCCGAAAACTATTTCAGCGATCCCAGCACCATCAAGGTGGAAGGCAGCGTCGGCAGCCCGGATGAGGATGCCATGGACACTGTTGGTTCGAAGCGTGAGGGAGTGCCTAACTCGTATCCCTTTTACTGGAATATGCCCAACTCATACTATCCGACGACGGGCGTGAAGACTTCTGTGGTAACGCGGGCGGATCCACCAGCCGATACCGGAAATTCCGAAAATGGTCATCACGGAAATGGACACAACGGAAATGAACATCCTGGACATGGACATCATGGACATGGTCATCCAGGACATGAAAATCCCGGACACGGACATGAACATCCTGGTCATGGACATCCCGGACATGGACATCCCGGACATGGACATCCCGGACATGGACATCCCGGTCATGGATATCCCGGACACGAACACCCCGGACATGAACACCCTGGACATGGACATCCCGGACATGGACATCACGGACATGGGCATCCCGGTTATGAATATCCCGGTCATGGATATCCTGGACATGGACATCATCATCCATATCCTTATCCATATCCCACCTATCCTGGTTACCCATATCCTGGATTCCCCTATCCCGGCTTTCCTTACCCAGGCATCCCCTTCCCTGGTTACCCCTACCCTGGCTATCCGTATCCTAGCTATCCGCATCCAGGTTACCCAGAGCACCATCCTCGTCCTCGGCCCAGACCAAGACCTACACCAGCACCTAGACCTGATTCGCAAAGAACAAAGGTATGCAAGGTGATCATTCCCTTTGGCAAAGTCTGCACATATTTAGACGATAATTAGGAACAAATTTATAAATAAATTAAACGAATGAATAAATAAAAAATGTCTATAAAAAATTATTTGTGTTGTTTATTTAAGTTTTAGCTGGGTTACAGCTATATTTTGGCTACAAACCTGAGTTTACGGCTCAGTTCATTAGATTTTAATTTCTATGCATTGTCTAAAGATTCCTTTGGAACACATTACCCGACGTAGTATGAGGCAAATGAAGAGTAAGTGAACTGAAATTAACAACAACCTACACGTTCCCCGATAATGCTCGAAACTGGTTCCTACTCATGTTGCTCATATTTAATGCTCTACAATAATATTTTGTCTTGTCTCAACTAAACAAAAGAAAAAAGTTCCTTTGTAATTTAATAAAAACAAATTTTCTTATTTGAATTGAAGCAAATATTTTTTGTTTGCATGGTTGATCGATTGATAAATTCCATACTATCTATATATAAAACAGTTTTTCCTGTAACGATTTACACGAGTTTTGGCTTTTTGTTCATGATGTAGCCTCTAGATCATAGGCATTATTTGATATCTAAGTCTGGGAACATTATTCATTAAATATTTAAAGTATTGCTCATTGGCCAACATTTTTCTTATCTTCGAGGATGCCCTTTGTTTTCGAGACGAAAGATTTCCTTTCAACTGTTCTCAGCCTGTCACTCAATCAAGATCAATTCTTGTATTAGCCTTTTTCCATAATATCACCTAATATATAATTATTATTCGAACTTAAAGCGCACTTGATCTACGATATCAAATCCAAGAAAGTATTTATTGAACGCTTTCTTTTGTTGTTTAATTTTATATTTGACATTTAAGGTTGAACTTAAAATATATGACATATATGTGGCTTGGGGAAAAAACCCGTTAGGACTGATTTGGTTGAACATTCGTAAAAAGAGGGCGAGTTCTGATATGTTCTGGACTGATTTTAATTTAATAGCTCGGCTGATTTGCATGCAAATGTCGCGAAGATTCGCATTTGAAATTGGCCAAAGAAAGTTTTCACTTTGGGCGTTGCCCGCGCGCCTTTTGCAGAGGCTGTGAGCAGATTTCTGTTAGATCTGTGATATGCGAATTAAGTTATCCCACAATAAATCCGAACGCCTTTTGTGTGCATCTAGACAAAAAGTGTATAAATACAAATGACAAGCCAGCAATTAATCAGTTCGACACAAACGCTTCAGAAATGAGCTCGAAATTGGCTCTCTGCCTGTTGCTAGCACTTTGCTGCGTCTTGGCTGTGGCCAAGGATGTTCAGCAGGACAGCATTGAGGATCAGGATACGTATACAGAAGATGATTATCTGAACGATTCGAGCAGTGAAGCCGAACAGGAACTTAACTCCATTGATGCGACACGTCAGAGTCAAAAGCGGATTTTGATATATCCCTTCTATCCAAGTTATCCCAGCAGTCCCAGTTATCCCAGCTACCCCAGCCACCCCAGCTACCCCAGCTATCCACATTACCCGGACTGGCCCCATGGCTATCCCAGCTATCCGCACCATCCAAGACCACCGCCAAGACCGGAAGATCCCGAAGAACCCCAAGAACCAGTGCCACCACCGCCGCCACCACCACCACCACCGCATCCGCATCCTGGTCATCCACAACATCCTGACCACCCAGGTCATCCTGGTCATCCAGGTCCACATCCTGGCCACCCAGGTAATCCCGGTCCATATCCTGGTTATCCGTATCCTGGTTATCCGTATCCTGGCTATCCCTATCCTGGCTATCCCTATCCTGGCTACCCCTATCCCGGCTACCCGAAACCCGGCTATCCCAAGCCCGGACGTCCTACGCCCAGGCCCACCAGACGCCCAACTAGGCCACCCACAACACCCCAGTCGCACATCTGCAAGAAAATAACTCCACTGGGCATTGTCTGCATCTAAAGAGGATTTATTCAACTTGAATAAGTTTCAAAAATTTATTTATTATCGAACAAAAATAAAGTTAAACTGACACACAACATAAATAGAATTTAATATCCGTTTGTAGAAGCTTGATGAATCGAATGCTAAGGCAGGTTAAATCATGGATAGGATTTGAGACAAGATAAAACGGAATATATGAAAGATATTATATTTTATTTCGTTTTTAAACTCAAGAAGATTTAAATCCAGAATTCTTTTCAAATAAATGTATAACTGATATGCTTGTGCAGAAGTTATATAAATCAAATGCCATAGCAAATTAATTTGGATACTATTGAAGGCTTTATGAAATGGAATATATAAAAGTGGAGCATTGCTCCTATCTGTATCTGAAGCCTATAATTCATTAAAGATACCCTAGACAGCGCAACTTTAAGTTGAGCAACTGCACAAAATGATTGCCAATCTGTCAACAAAAGCTGTCCGTATTTATATCTTTGGGGTATAATGATATTTTTAAAAATTATTTTCAACGTCGCTGCGGGAGCTTGTTTCAGATTTTTCAACTGATATTGACATTTGGCTGAGGCTCATTAACACAATTGTCAAAAGCAGACTTGTCAGTTGCCGATAATTGCCCAGGACGCTGGAAATAAAGTTTTGTACATGCCGAAATGAAACGCGCTTTATATACATACGCACATATATACATATATATGTCCATGTATTTGACGAGCTTTTAACATGTTTAACATCAATTTGTCCGTTTGTCAATTTGTCGACTCGCTGCTCTGGTGACAGTTAGCCGCCGCGCATCAAATAAATATTTAAATTTGTTCAATAAACGCGCCGCTGATAAATATCTTTAAAATGTAAATGTAAATGTAAAAGAAATGCCTATGGCCATAGAAGCTGAGAGCCTAACAAGTTCGTTGACTTTCGAATTCCACATTCGGCGAGTGTGTGAATGCAAGCAGCAATTCATCTGAATGCAGTGCAAGCATTTTGAATGAGTCCATTTGCAGGCACATCAGGGCCCAGCTCGGCCAAAATGAAGGCCAAGTGCTTTTAATAGGGCCAAGGGCCATGGGCCAAACTGGCTGCTAAGGGGCTGCCTGTCCGCTCCGTAATAGCCGGCTTATTTATCGAGTTTTGTCGACTTTCTGGCGACACTAATTAAATGTCCAACTGGGCTTACTAAATCAAAACAACATGGATCCAAAACAATGCACTGAGAGAAACTTGAAAAGCAGCATCAAATCAAACAAAAGAAATTTCGCAGAAGGAGTTTCCTATTTCAGACCCCAAAAGGAATATATATAATCCTGATTAGCATCAACAGCCGAGTTCATATGGCCAATTCAGTCTGCCCGTCCGATATATGTGAATGTCTCTCAGCTTATAAAGCTTTCTGTTGCAGGCAGTACATAAATCAGAACCGTCCGGGTCCGTCCGGGTCCGGTCCGGTCCGGGTTATCACATAGCTGCTATAGGAACGATCGGTCGAGAAATAGGTTATTGTTGAGGCAAATTTTTTGTTTATTGAAATATCCTTGCTAAGCCCGGTGCTTACACTTTTCACTATGTTCCCTACCTATATATATGCAAAATCTTATCAACATCGGAACATTATTTCCGAGGAGCTTTCAGTTCCAAAAAAAGTTCTTGCATTGAAAGAATTATTCAGTTTCCATGATATTTTCATCAAAATCAAAGCAAACGGCAAATGTCTGCGAGAATAAAAATCTTAGGCATATCTAAAGATATTCTGACCTTCTTATCGCAAGGATCATAAAGATTAGATAATTTTGCTTGAAATTAGAATAAGAAAAAACCATGAATTTTTTCTAGATTTTCGGCACAGCGTTTTTCGCTCAGTGCAGCAGCAGTTAGTTAACCTACCCGTCTGTGTGTGTGTGTGTGTGTGTGTTTGGACAATCGTAAATTCTAGATATTGTTAAAAAACTTTTCGAAAAGCATAAATCTGCGCGCACAACAACAACAACAGCTCCATAACAAGTACAACTCTGGCCGCTAACGAGCCAAAGTCTCTGGCTGAAATCATTGAAAAATAATGCCTATAAATATGCTAAGGAAATTGTCTGTGCCACAGAGCCTGTGCCTCTATCATCCTGTACACTCTGTTCTGTGCTCGGTGCCTCAATTGAGGCGCATCCATTCAAAGGCAAAACTTTTGCTGCCAGCGTCGAGTGAAGGTCAACAGCGTAATTTGTTTACTTTATGCTGCCACTTTGCGCAGTTATGAGTGTGTGTATGTGTGTGTGTGTGTGGCAACGCTTCGACTGTCTTTGGAGTGGCATGTGGCAGCTACAGCGTATAGGCCGTGCAACACTACAATTATCTGTGCTCAGTGTGGCATGGCCCCGAGCGCTGTTGGCTTTGGTAGCCAAAGAGCAGCACATTCCGCAGATATATCGAAGCCAAGATCAACTGTCGTGCGCTTGATTATTGTTTAAACAAAGGGCCATAATTACTGGCTATTGGCCAGAGGCAATTATCCATAGATTAGCATATAATTTATGAAATAGCCCAGTTTTGAGCTGTGAGCAAATAAAACACTTGAACATAAATACGCGATTAAATAGACAGCGGCTGCCGCATAAAACCTGATGCACGCCCATAAATATGCCACAGAGCTTAATGCAGGGCCCAGGCCATAAACTATATAAATATTTTTGCCACACCCCGCCCACCTGCCAGCCCGCAACAGCGTACGCTCTAAGCATGCCGCACTGACTGTGCCACAGATTCTCAAATGTAAATATGCCGGATGCCGGCGCAGTCGGCGAGAACTGAAGATATTGCCCCCTTAACCTACCTTCCTGCTGTGGCCAACTGCTGGCGGTTGGCCATTTTTATAAGGCCATTTTCCTTCATGTTTTTCGGCCCCCTTTTTAGAGGGCACCAAAAAATTTTTGCATTCCCATTGTTGGCCAGAAATATGAGTTCTTGAGCGGCCGACAACCAGCAGCAGGCGGAAGTACTCGAAGGCACCGGAAATACAATATGAAGTTGGCCTATCAGTTGAGTTGAGTTACTTAGCCAGTTTTTTTTTATGGCTTCAAATATTTGAAATTGAAAAAAAAGCACGAATGAAAGGGAAGGGAAAACCTTTGCTCGTTAAAAGCGTTTCCAACTTTCAAGTGGTTTTCGTGTAATTACAGCACGCAAAATAAGAAAAATAAGAAAAATGGGAAAAAAGTCGTTGTTAATTAGTGTAATTAAAGTGTGAAATGAATGCCATGAAATTGACTTGTTATTGATGGACTACAGACATGATTTCATAATTTAAATTTGTTGCCAAACCAATTGCTGAACATGCAACCAAAATAGCTATAATATATGTATACATAAGCATATGGCTTACAAATAAGTTGATTAATTTATTTACCTTGCGGAGAGTGTTGAGATGAAGTCATGAAGTGTGTGGAACAGACATATATATATATATATTCTTGATCAACAACTACTTTGATATACATCTGTCTATGCCAACTAGTCTGGCGGTAACTAGGATTGTTTCACTGTGATCATTGGAAGACTTGGCTCTTGTTTAGATAGACTTTTTAATTAAGCAGAAAAGGTTAATCAAACTAGGTTTTTACGAGTAGTACCCTTTGCTGTTCACAGATGAGTCAAGTCCACGGCCAATCAGTCAAAATGGACTTTTTCCGTCGATTAAAACAAATTTCTCACCTCATAAATCAGCAAAGCACCAGAACATCCGCCTGCTAGGGTATAGAAACGTCGGCTTGTGCAGATTTTCATTATTAAATTCTTGTTTATTTTTTTTTTACCAAATGCTTGAAATAATTATGCCGCGTATTTAATTTCCACACAATTTGCGCAAATTTACGCAGCATTCAAATAGATATTAAAATTTTACGCTCATCAAATTGTTCTTCATAATGAATGTCGTGGGTAATGGGGAGAAGGGCGGTTGTATTATTTAAAAAGTTGAAGTTCACGCTATTTTATTTACATATATATATTTTTTTTGTTTTCTGTCTTTTTGCCAATACGCAATTGTTGTTCGCCTTTTTGTGATATAAACGCTAAAAGCCATTGTGAAAATGTGCGCGTGCAAATAAAACAAAACAAAACAAAAATTTAATGGTAAAAACTACGCTTATGAAACCATCGAGGCGTCGACTTTAAAGTGCCGCCTCATTAAATGCAAAAAGAATGAAGAACAAATTCGATTTTTAATAAGCCAAACAGATATTTCCCAATATTGAAGCCCCACAAATATCTGTGCTTCAAGTTTTAATTAGAAAAAGTCGCAGCGAAGCAAACAGTAATTAACAGGGCACAAAAAAAAAAAAAAAAAACAGAACAAAATATTAAAAAAAAAAACGTATATATATACAATATGCAAAGCAAAAGTCTGGTAGATAAAGCATTTATTTGAATTGGAAATTCGCTAGAAAAGGGTATCATCAACTTGCCAAGAAGTATGCGACGCATCTCCTACATGCTTTCATCAAATATAGTTTCCTTAAAAGAAATTATGAAATATCACAACAGATTCTACCTGAATGGCCTACACTGTTAGATCCTAGACACGGCAGAGCCCACTGATGTTATTCTTCAATCCATATTGATTTTCTGATACAAATAATGAAATGTCAGAACAGGTTCTGCCTGAGTGCCCAGCACTGTGCAAAGCCAGATCTGATTATCAGAGACAGGCGAAAGTAGCTTTATATGAAGTCTTGCTCAATCAAAGCATGTTTCTCAATCCCCATATCTCTAACTATAAGACTGTTTGTCCTGAGTGACTGAATTAAAGAAGATCTCATTGTCAGCAAGAAGAAAAGGTGGCTTTCAATGTAAACACACCCCACAAGTGCTATGGAAAATCGTTTCAATTTATAGCTGATCTGATCTCTACCGAACAAGAGACAGTAAATCAGGGTAGTAGCTCAATCACATTGAGGGGAATTTTCAGTGAGGGGAAAGTGCGAAATTCTACTTCTGAATACCGACAATTTCTTTAGTATTTCATTTAGAGGGCAACCTGCACGTCGAGCTGTGCCTTTTAGCGACTGCTGTTCTATAAATAATTATTTCATTCTATTTTTCGGCTGGCTGCCATTTCAATATTTCAGCTGCTGCTGGTCATTTACTTGACCTCGCATTCCATTTGCGCCTGCCCACATTCATGTCAAAAGTGATTGTAATGAGTTTTTGATATCTGCCACAAGGCATGCTACACAAGATGCCATCGCAGTGCAGAGCGCCAGAGAATGTTGCCTTCTTCGCTGGCTTCGTCTTTATAAATGCAGTCGTGTGTGTTTTGTTTGGGCTCGTGTTTCTGTCAATATCAAAATGTTTGCCAGCAGCTGAGCGGCTGTCAAATTGTCGAAACACTGACACAGATATCCTGTATGTGCGAGTGTGTGTGTGTGTGTGTGTGTGTGAAGTACATGCCAGTTGACGCTGAAATAATCAAAATGCCGCAACCATCAAAGCCATATTGAAATGACAGTGAATCTTGACAATAAATAAATAAAAGTCCTTTAGCCCAAGTGCAAAATTCTATTTAAATTGCAAATTAAATACGTTCAATACCAGAAAAAGAATAAGAAGCAAAAGAAAGGCGTCATGACTGTGCAGTTTATACGAAAAGTACTTTCCTTTCCCTTTCGCTTTAACATATTTAAATTTTAACATTGACCATGCCCACACACAATGCAGAGAAAGGCGCGAAAGCGTTTAAGGAAAACAAGAGAACGTTTTTCTTTTCGTTTTTCTCTTTTATTTGTTGTTGTGTGTGTGTGTGTGTTGTTTGCATTTAGAACACACGCCCATGGGCTGTTTTTCCACGGTCCGGCAACATCAACATCTACACAAGAACAATGTCTACGGCGCCAAGAGCCTTTGGTGGCCAGTGTGGGCGTGGCTGCCATTGCCTTTCTTTATTTTTATTTTTTTTAATTTCTTTAAGAGCCAAACAGAAATGGCAAAATAAGCATAATTTCAGGCGCCATAAAAATAAAAACAAAACAAAATAAATTCACACAATTTGAAAAACGCAAACACTCAGCCGCAGCCACAGCCGCAGCAGTAGAGCCCAAGGCGGACAGGGCTGGGCAGGGAATGCTAGGGTAGCTACTAAAGCAGCCAAAGAAAATGGCGGCGGCCAAAGTACAGCTGCAGCTGTTTAATGGCCGCTCTATGTGTGTCCCAACAGCTGCGGCTGTGTGTGTATGTGTGTGTGCTGGAAAATGAATTAAAAAATGTTTACGACTCGACCGCTTGATTTTCAGCACATTGCAAAGTGCTTGAAGAGCGAACCCCCGGCCAAGGAATTCGTTTCACGAGCAACTGAAACCCCCTTCCAAGCGTTCAAGAAATTCCAACACATCGATGTGGCCAGCCAAAAAAAAAAAAAATATATGTATATATATATAAAGAGAAGAAGAAGCAAAACCACAACAACAAAATAGAGTGTTCAAGTGTTTGCGGCGACGCTTTTACAATGCCGCACGTTGTGCCCTGCAACAAATTGATTTTTTATTAGCAACTCTGCCACACACACACACACACACACATACACAGCGTAATGCAACAGACTACACACGAAGTTTACGAAAGGAAACAGAACGAGCTGAGACATAACCCAAAGGTGATTAGATCTATATATAGGGGTTCTATCTAGAGGGGGTAAAGATATTAGAAAAAAAAACAAGAAAAATACTATAAATATACCACAAAAATGATTGTTGATTAATTGATTGATTGATAATGATTGATTCGTAATTGATATTTAATATGCACAAATTGAGAATTGATACGTATTTGTTCTTGTGTTGATTATCGATGATTGAATATAAAAAATCTCTTATTCTTTTTAAAATATACCGGAAGAGAGATCCATAGCTGCTTAGTTATGTATTTGAAGCGGTTTGTTCAGACTGACAGACTGATTGATATCAATGAAAATCGTAATGATTGATTAAGATTTGTTCTGACTGATTGACTGATGAAAACTGAAACCTTTGCTTTGACCTTAGCTGACTGATTGCTGATGATTGACGATCATCGAGATTTTTAACTGTATGATAAGTAAAATTCTTTTGATATTTCAAACTTATGCAATATACCAAAATGATTTGTCAGATCAATTGAAGTGTGCCCAGCATTCAATTTATATTCCTTTTAGCATCGACTTAGGGCATTCAAAGTTCAACCTGAAATGCTCTAGCGATTTCGATTATTTTGGCCTCGTTTTGATGGCCTTGACTTTTGCATTGGGCATAAAAAAGTTTTAATTATTTCATTGCATACTCGAAGTACGCCCCAGTCCGGCGACCCTTCACATCCAGCTGCACGGCCAGCTCGTGGAGCAAATGAAGCTGAACCCGCGGCCAAAGCCATATAATGTGTGTGTGTGTGTGTGTGGCCCAAAAGAACAATTTGATAATTGAAAATGGGCAATGGGAAATGGAAAATGGGAAATCAGACAAGTGCTCAGCAAAGCTGATTGGCGGGTTTTTAAAATGCAAAATGTATGCAGGCTAATTAGTTTATTTCTGTTTTTGGCTTGTTTTTTCTCTCTATTTGTTCCACTCCGGCTCTTGATAGGTGTGTGGCCAGTGGCAGCATAAATTGTTGCATTAACTGTTGCAGCAACATTTTAAGGCGCAACCAATTAACGGTCGCATAAGCTGGGCCCATTAAGGGCGTCCGCAAAACAGTTGCCAGCCAATGCAATTGCTGTTTAATTGAGCGCACGGCTGCCACACAGTCGTTTAGCTGGTCGTTGCATGCGGCACCCTGTGGCATGATGTCTGTATTGTAAAACGCCGCGTAAGCCAAAGCCAACAAAATGAGACAAAATGTTCAGAGAGCCATAAGCGCCTACATAAATTGCATACACTGCAAATCGTCGCATGCGGTTGCCCCCAAGGGTTGGTCGGGTTCGCGGGGGGGGAGGGACGTGGTATTGTCTATAGGGCGGCTATACCATTTGACAAATTATTATCGAGTTGGCAGCGCTGCGTCGTGGTTTTGGCCTCAATTTATGCGCCAGCTACCTACAGGTAGCACACAGTAGCCGCCTCGCAACTGCCTCACGTGCCAGCCCCTGTGCCTGCCAGTCTATTAAATCAGTTCGAAAGGTGAGGGGGACGCAGGCGCAGAAAAAAAAAAAAAATAATTTATGGCACGCATTTAGGCAGTGATAAAATATGACAAATGCCTAAAAATATATGCCAAGATGCAGCATCGGCTGCCTCTTACCTCTCTGAAGCCGGGCCCGCCCAGCCTACCGACTTATCTGGCACATGCATAATTTAAGTCAAATTGACAATAAATCAAAAAAACTGGTATTCAGCACAGCCCCCTCCTTTAGGAGGGCTCCCACTTTAGACACAGGTGCCACAAGCACATTGCCAATGCCCATTTTGATGGCCGCAAACGAAACGCGGCGACAACAAGTGCCCGCGTTCTGGCCAACAATTCATTTGAAAATGTTTTTATAATTGTTACACGCTAACAGCAGGGAGAGGTATATACACTTCCGCAGGCAGTTTGTGCAGCGCGAAAACAAATATCGCTTCTATATTCTATTCCGGTTCCGGATTCTTTTTATGTGAATTCCGGGCTTAAGGTTAGGTTCGACTTTGTAATCCGGCTTGACAACGTTCTGATTACAACTTTAACAATGACATCTAAATTTTATTTATTCATCTCAACCCTCCGAAATATAGAAAAAATTATCTTTTTATTGCCAAACCTTTTGCCCGAATTCAAGCTCACAATATCCTGCTGCCAAGGGCATTTGGATTTCGATGGAGAGCTGCGCAGTTAATTGCTTGTTTTATGTGTTGTTTAAAACGTTTTTGGCATCGCATATAAAATATGTATGTGCACTCAATATGCAACGCGAATTTAGATTTATTTTAGACAATTTGATTGCCGATGGCCGCGTTTATTTTATTTCAAAATGTCCAACAAACATATAAATCTGCGGACAGCGCTAGAAAAATGCCAAAAATGAAATGAAAATAAAATTGGGTTTTATGTACGTGCCGAAACATTTTGCAGACAACGTTCCTCAGTTGGTCAACGCTAGGCGCTAGCCGTGACCCCCATGCGACCCTGAACGCATCTGCTGCATGCAATTAATCAACGCCAGGGTTGCCAGGTAGTCGAAAAAAGAATATTTGAAAACTGAAAACAAGAATCAACTGATTGCTACGAAAATTAAATACTCTTCTTGATATGTAATGCACGCAGTAGAGAGACGAGCGACAGACAAATATTTAATAAGAAGATATAAAAGTGCTAATGGGTTTGAACCAGCGACCTTCTGATTATTAGTCCGACTCGCAGAGATCTCTATTTCCTTAAGACTGATTACCAATTAAGACTAACTCATTAACATACATAAATTAACAGCTCCTGTTTCCAAATGTTGTTGGGTTTGAACCAGTGATCACTCAAATGTTAGTCAAATGTCAGTCAAGACGAACTCTTTAATATAAATATGCATTTATGTCATCTCCTTTCAAGTGTTTTACAAATTTCCAATAGATTTGAACCAGCGACCTTGCGATTGTTAGCTTCTAATCAGTCTGATGTCTCAGTCAAGACAAACTCTTAATGGTATCTCCTTCGGGGTGCTTCACATTCCGCGACAAAATTATAATACGCCGTAGAAAGTGAACAACTCTTTCGTTGACATGACAAAAAGTGCAGGTGAATTGAATTTCTAGCTAAACAGGCTAACTGGCGGCAGCCGAGACGAGGGCCATTGAGTTGGCAAAACAGTGCGAAAGCCACGTTTGGCATTCACTGGAAAAGCCCGTCTAAAAGCCGCTAAATATGAGCGCGTTGCGCGTTGCGTGTTGCAGCTTCTGCTGCTGCTTCTTCTTCTTCGTCTTCTTCTTCTACATCTTGGAGCGTGTGCTTCAAGCTGAAGCACCTTTCAGACAGCAGCTGCCACTTCATTTTGCGCACTTTTTAGCTGGCTGAGATACTTTGCTGCTGCTGCTGCAGCTGGGCGTGGTTTTGGGTGATTGTGAGCAATGGGTCGGGGGATGGCGGAGCGTGCGCTGCACATCAGTCAAAGTGCAAGTGGCACTTGTTGCCACTCCATGCCACACAGCAGCGCACGAAAAAAAAAAACGGAAGCAGCCAAGGCAAACGTTTGCCACGACGCAGCGGCAGCGGCAGCGGCACTCAAGTGGCGCCTCCAAGTCTGCTAAAGCTGCTTGCGATTTTCTCTGCTCGCAGACCTTGCTAGTGGCAACACCCGCCCCCGGCCCACTTATGCCCCACCCGCTCTGTAGTAGCAGCAGCTGGCGGCAGACGGCAGTTTGCATTCTTAACTCGAATTAATTGCATCAAAGCCAGGCAAAAATTTGTGCAAATTCCCTTGGGCAAGCTTTGGCCACAGCAAATAACAAGCATCTCATATGTCCTTGCAGCAAGTCCTGCCTTTGCTGCTCCACTATTCGGCAATTATTTTCTTAAAATTCTGCATACTTTTCGTAAAAGCAACTAAAAACTTTCATTCGCAAACAACAGAGGGACAGTTGGGGGATTGTAAAATAAGTAACGAATAATGAATACCCTTGTGGAAACGAGAAGAGAAGAGATTTTAATATGAATAAGGCCGGATTATGGATGTGGCGCAGATATTTTACATACTCTAAGTCAATCTTTAGGTTGTTAGTCACGTATGCATAAAGATCGGACTATAAGCACCGAAGATATTCAGGGTAGCATTTCTTGGATGAGAAGGAGAGGCACAACTGCTGCATAAATTTGAGAGGATATCTTCTAGTCGGGCACTCCCCAATCTGGCACTTTTACTTGCTTTTAGTATATATAGACTTAAAATCAGTTCCAGCAACATGTGAGTCGTGATTTAGAAAGTGTTTCTAGCAGCTCTATAAAGCAAAAATTTACCAAAAATAAATGACTAGAAAAATTCTCAGATAAATGTCACAAAACTCATATTTTGGATGCTTAAACAAATTCGTATAAACTTAATAGGTAGGCAGGCCACAGCAAATAGGTAAAAATTGTATTTATTTTTATGGCCTAAAACTCATTTATTTAATGCTTTTGCCAGGGTATAAAAAAAGTGCTCGTTTGGCCGTTAGCTGAAGGCCTCGTCTTCAAGCTGGCAACTGGCATTTTGTGGGTGGCTGCTTCTTGGTGTTCATGCAACAACAGACACACCATAAGCAGCTGTCTGAGTGTGCGTGTGTGTGTGTGTGTGTGATTGTGTGTGTGGTGTGATGCTTGCTTTTGGCCATGGCCACAGGCCTGGCCCAGTTGCCGCAACTGTCTCGGTGGCCGTTGCATTGTGCAAAAAGGATATGTGTGCAATTTCCCTGGGGAAATTTATGCAAATAAAATAACAAATAAATTTTACAATTTCATGTGCACAACATACAACATTCACAGCCTGCACTCAGTCATTCATTCGCCCATTCCACACACTTATTCACTCATTCATTTCATTTCAATTCAATTCATTTCATTTCATTTCGTTTCATTCTGCTGCGTTCGGCTGGGCTCAACTTTGCTTTGCTCTGTCAGCTTGTCAATTTGTTTGTTTGCCTGTCCGGTTGTCTGTCTGTCTGTCAGTTTATCTGGCTGTTTGTTTGTTGGATTTGCATTGCAATTGAAGTGCGTGCAAATTTGCGAAAGGTCTTCCATAAGTCGAATCATAAATTGCGATTCCCTGGATGCCGGGATCATTGGCAAATGCCAGGCATTTAGCATATGTCTAGACGCCGACCTTGGCAGATAATAAAAGCACAGCGTATACGCACACACTCTTCATTTCTGGGAACAACACATAGGTGTTTGTTTTTGCTGTGGGTGTATCTCTGTGTATGTGTGTGTGTGTGTGCCTGTGTGTGCGTGGGTTGCCTGCGCATAAAAAACTTTAATTGTTTGAAGCGCCTTGAGCGTCAAACTTTTTTAATCATGAATGTGCGCATTTAACAGCTGGTCGACTTTTTACACACACACACACACACTCATTCACACACTCATTCCCACACACACACAAGCACGCAGATTTGCTTTTGGCTACGCATTTTCACACTCAACTAAGTCTATAACAATCCGGCAGCTAAACAAATATTGCCAGACTATAATATACTCACGTATTTATGTATGAAGCATAAATCTGTTGTATTTATATTTATAATATATATTTTATTTTATATTATAGACATATTCTCTAATATATATATATTTAGATAGTGATTTATAGTCTCTTCAATTATATATATACTCGATCTTCCGATAAAGCATAATGAAAGTGTTTCAACCCTGGCGTCGTATCTGTTTACCTTTAAAGCATTCGAGCCAAGGCGTGTCTTTTTATAATTATTTATATTTTAATTAATAATTTTATATATTTCTTTTTATGTTCTTCCATTGATTAATAAACTTTTCTAATTCTTTGTATCTGCTTTTCAGAAGGATGCAAAAAGGAAGTGTATCAAAGTGTGCTCTTTAATTTTTTTTTCTATTTTTTTTTCGTGTTTAACTGTGCTATTTTGTTTTCAAGAAGCTGTTTAAAATTAATAATTAAATATTTTTTGTATATTTTTTTCTGTGTTTAATTGTGTTGCCTGTTTTGGCATAAAATGTTCAATTTTTTTTAAGAAATTTTTTTTTTCAAATTTTTTTTTGTGCGAGCCATAAATGTGTGAAAACGTGTTTCCCGTTCTGTGATAAAAATGTTTGTTGTTTGACAAAAGATGCTGTAGAAAAGTAAATATAACAAGGTAAGTACATCAATTTATTTATTTTTGAATTCGAAAACTATAAAAATCAGTTATCAAAATCAATAATTGTGCTGAATTTGAACCGGCAACCAGCCGGTTGTTGGTTTAACGCTCAAACACAGCTAAATCGCGCTTTTTTGTTGACTTTTTTCAAACAAACTATGTCAAAACTCTTATACTTACTCTGACTCTAGACTCAAACTATTTGTCAATTAACTTTTTTTTTTCTTACAATAAAAGTAATTTAATTTAAATGAACTTTTTCTGTTACCTTAAGACCTTTGCTCTAGGGTATATAATAAGCAAATGTAGCCGCGCACCATCTAAAGTTTGTGGTTATTTTTTGGTATTTTTTGTCCTTGTTGTTGTTGTTGTTTTTGTTGCTAGTCTGTGTGGTACAAATGGATTAGAAACAACTTTGTCTGCAGCGCTTGTGCGCCAGAAAGTATGCAAAATTATTGAAATTGAGCATTCAATTTATTTGCAAATGGCTTGCCATATATTCCGAACAGCTTTTGCCTTGTTTTCCCGTTTATTTTTTTATACAATCTCATATATGGAAAATTACACCACACACACACACACACGCACGAGCGCTTGGCAGCTGGAAGGGTGGGTTTGGGTCGTGGGGAGAGGGTAAAAAAGTTTAAGGATAACTGAAATGTACGCACGAAGGCGCCAACATCTATTAAGCTTCAATGGATAACACAATGCGCTAGATGTAAATATATACACACGGATACATTCGCGCATATATATATATGTGTGTGCGTGTGTATGTCCTGGCAGCTCAAATATGTATAAATTGAAATCAATAATTATTTCCATATCATTAGATGCCAAAAGCAAAATGAAATGAAAAGCAAATTATATGCTAAACAAAAAGTCGTAGATTCTTAGATTTGCGCTCAGTTTTCCTTCATATGATGTGTTGTCCTTGCGGGGCATTTCCCAATTTTCAGCGACAGATGTCCTTGTGCCGCAGCAAAACAGTCGCTGAAATTTTTGTTTACCTCAAGTATGTTGCCATTGATTTGGCTCGTTGGCCAAGTTAAACGAAAGCCCGGCCACCCTGCGAGCCCTAAACCACCTATAAACAAGTTAATTTTCATTTATATAAAATGCTTTGGTTCACACAAAAACGCAGCTGGCAACTGACTCGACTAGCACATACTCTCTACTTTGACTTTCAACTCAATCTTTCACCCAAACTCTTACTCGGCCGACTCTTTGACTTCTGTAATACATCAGTATCCGCTGCTTTCTTGTTTGTGTAGAGGGTATACGGAAAAAAAGAAAAAAAAAACAAAGACAAAACAACGAGCAAGCGCAAAGCGCAAAGGGAAAGCGCGTGGAAAACGTATGCATGCAAAATATTTTTGTCAAAGAACCTTGAAAAGGTGAAAATTTGCGTTTAGGTAAGTGGAAATTTTGGGGCGTCAAGAAATCACAGCGCTTGTGTATTAAAAGGACGCCATAAGGGGCTGATTTGATGTTTCAAGCGATTCAAATTTAATGCCAGACAACAAACAAAGCTATTAAAGAGATATAGAAATAGGCAGGGTATTCCCCAACATAATAGGATATTCCCTAACATGTCGCTTATGGTTAATAGGTTACGTAATGATCGAACTACTGTAAATATTTATTCCAACTGACTTAAGAGTACAATTCACCACAAACAGACTGTTTTAAGTGTTGGGAAAACTTCATTATTAACACTATGTCAGCGCGTTATGCAACACTGTTTGCTGCTAGCATACAGGAAATAAATGCACGGACATATTCATGAGCGCGCAATAAGATGTCAGAACACAAAGTATTAACGCATTAAGTACACTGAGAAAAAATAATCGACACTTTGTGCTCATCAAATACAAAAATTGCCTTTAACTGGGCATTAAATTCTTACAACAGACCAGCAAAACATATTTCCGTGAAGCAGTCAAATATTTAATACCCTCTCAACACATTTTAATTGTTCCAAGAAAAGGTGCAATTTATTAGTGAGTGAAAAACTCGTGTTGGCAAAATAAAAGGATGCGTTGAGACGCACTTGTGTTGTGGCTGATTTGAACTTTCGGCTGATTAAAATTTAATGCTGAACAAACAAAGCGATTCAATGGAAAAGTTTAGCACGCTCTGTAAATAAGAGCAATATGCTGGTTGAATGGATTTTCGCAGGAATATTTCATGAATATCCAGCACAGGGCCACGCCGTGCGTATGCGTAATGCGAGATGCTTGTGTGTGTTTAATTAGTGCAAATGGTATAACAGTTATAACAGTATAACAGCACGCGTGTAGCACACTCAAATTGCGACTATTACAATGCCATTAAACAAACTAACAAGCAACAGTCAACAATTCAATAATTAATATGCGACTGACGACCGACAGCCGACTCCGTGGTCCACTTTGGCCTCAATTTATCAAGTTTTGATTTATTGTAGAGTTGTAAAGTGCAGTCGCGCCGCCTTACCGCAGAGGGCTCAGCCCCTTCCCCACCAGCCAAGTGGCTGAATAGCTCGATAGCTCGATTGGTTTGCCACAAAGCGGCTACAATTTGGCTCACAGCCAGGCGCACATAATTGGCCTGGCCAGAAGCATTTGTTTGGCTTCGCCTCGTTCACCTGGCAACACAACAAGCAATTGCACTCCACTCGAACCCGATTAAGGATCATTGGCGCCAGGAGCAGCAGGAGCAAAAGGAGCAGAAAAAAGAAATACGGAACGTAACGAACACACGGAGAAAGAATAATTGTATGTATAAATAATTGATGGCAATAAACGAATCGCATGAAGGCGATTTCCCACTGAGCTGCAAAACCGCAAATGAGTCTCACCAACGAGTGGCGGTTTGGCCGGGAAAAGTACACTCCCTCCCCCTCCCTCATCATTCACACCCTATCCTAAATGAAAATCCCTGAAATGCGAGTGCTTACACACACACACACACACACACACACAGATACATCTAAATGTGCACGGAGCGAAATAAGCTATCAATGTCGCCGTTGTTGAGAGGCATTTAAAGCATGTTTATATGCTTCTATGTCAGTTTAAAGGTAACATATATGACAGGATGTATCATATTAAAGCTAAGGTAAAGTTAAGGAGGTGAAGAGAAAGTAGGTTTTCATATTCTCAGATATAGCTGA